TTGAACCGTCCACCCTGGACAAGCGACTTCAACAACCGGCCCACGAATGGAGCCTCCTTGGTGTCCGCGCGGGACTTGGCCGCCTCGGCGACAGCAACAAGAGCGGCGCTCTTGTCGCCATCAGCGTCGAAGAGGACCTCAGAGATGAACTGACAGCCGAAGCTGGTCTCCAACAGGGAGTCCGCACGAGCTGCGATCAGCTCGAGAACAGTGGGGGAAGCGGCCTTGACCAGCTCCTGTCTGCGGACCTCGGGCTCCTTCTTCGACGTTTCTGCGCGGATCTCACGGATCTCCTTCAACAGCTCATTATCCTGCTCGGGCAGAAGCCACTTGGCGCGGTCGCCAGCGAATGGATACAAGATGGGGATACGAGCCGTCAAGTCAGTCACTTGCCAGAGCAACTCTTCGTTGCGGGCTTCAGCGTCCATTCCTTGGTTCAGAAGCTCGGGGAAAACGAGTTTCGAGGTAAGCTTGGTATCATCGATGACTTCGTAGGCTGCCAAGATGACCGTGTGTCCATTGAGGTCACCTGCCATCATCTTGATCGTATCGCGATAGAAACGGGTCAGAAGCTTGCGGTCCTTGGCGTTCGAGTAGGCAAGAGCCCGAGACATGACTCGTGAGCCTGACTTGGTGAAAGCCAAGTTCTTAACAAGATCGCCCTCTTCATCGCCCTTCAGGAGTTCAACGAACTCATTGGCCTCCTCACTGCCGACCTTCACGTTGAGATAGTACTGAAGCATAGCATCGTGTAGAATAGTGAAACCCGAGGTCTTCTTCTGGATCAGCTGGTTGATGAGCTCAAACAAAAAGTGCATGATAGGTCCTCTCTTCTCGGGGTTTTTGCTCAGGATCTCAGAGAGCTCCGCGGTTCCATCCTCCTGCTTGAAGATAACGAACTCAGGTCCGTACCACTCACGCAGGAGGTTGGCCCTCTGCTGCTTCGTCGCGACCGTCCGGTAGATATCGTCGAGAATCCAGGATCCCTCGGGGTGTCGGATGAGACGCTTAACGTGTCCGTAGAATTCGGGGATGATCAAGTCGCGAATCTCACTGTCGCCGTGAACAATCAGCTTGCCAACCAAGAACTTGGCATACCGGCTCTGAGCAAGCTCACGGTAGCTGCCCTTGAGCTCTGTGGCGATCTGTTTCCGTTGCTCGAGGTTGGCATATTTCAGAGCGGTCTGGATGACACGGACCGAGTCGTGCTTGAACACAAAGTCCTTGACACGGCCGGTGATGATCTCAAACAGCTCCTTGATGAGCTTCTTCCGCTGCTCGAGGGGGACGTGAGATTTCCGACGCAGCTGCTCCCAAAGCTTCTTAGACCGGGCGATGATATCGGCGTTGGGCTTTGCGGCTTTGCGCTCTTGCTGCATCGCCTTCTGCTTGATATGCGATTCGCGGGATGTGGACTTGTCTGCACAGTTGAAAGAGAGATCTGGTTAGTTCCCAATAGCTTCAAAGCAGTAACCTCTGAAAAGGAAATCCACCTACTTGGATCCGCCGCCTTCGCGGGCTTAGACTCCTTCTCCTCCTCCTCGTCCTCTTCGTCGTCTTCCTCAACACCACCCATATCGACGTCTTCGTCCTCCTCAGCATCCAGCTCATCCAATTCATCAATCTCCGAATCCTCAACATCATCCAAATCGAACTCGTCGTCGTCTTCGTCTTCGGATTCTTCCTTCTGCACCTTCTTGCCCTTCTTGCTGCTCAGGTCTTTCTTGTCCTTCTTTCCACCCTTGTCGCTACCCTTCTTGAAGTCGGACTTCTTCGCCGACTTCACGGGCGCCGACTTGGAGCCGCCCTTCTTCGTCGGCGCGGACACGGCAGTCTTGGTCTTCGTCCGCTTGCCATCGCGATCGTCGCCGTTATCGACGCGGCGCTTTACCCCGACCATGATGTGTGGAGATTTGAGATTTCGTCAATGGAAAAGAAAAAGAAAGAAAAGAAAGGGTCAGGAATAAACTGATTTGGGCGGGATCAAAGAATGAAAGGTGATATAGGCCGCCCGCGGAGTCTAGGTTTTCCTGCTTAAGATTATCGCCGCGGCCGCCCGTCCTACATTTTTTTTTCTTACATTTTTTTTGCCTGTTCGAGGGCGGTCGACCGCTGTTTGTCTGGTTTGCAGGCTCACTGATAAGGCGGGTGTGCGGGATAAGGACGGGCGGGCAGCCATCTTTCCCCTCCCGTCTGTCTACATGGTTCATTTTGAGGAAAAGAGGTCGGAATAGAATCGTAGCATTGACGGAAATAGTCATATAACGAAAATCTTAAAACTATGTACACGAATGATTATCTATTGAGGTGGACAGTAAAATGCCAGAATAGTGAAGTTCGACAGCATGAGAAACACGCAATGCGTTCCGTTCGTTCGTCGAGCCCGCAAGCAAGCGGGGCAGACTGACAGCAAAACTCATCGACGAGTCCCACGAATGGAGCGATTTAGAAAGCAAACCTCGGTCACTGGCAAATCAATCATCCCAGTGGCCCCCGAGTCATGGTATATTGGTTACAGAAACCCTGCGATTTGTATCATGCATCATTAGTTTCGGATCCGGCACTCGCCGGTGGGGACTTGAAAGGGCCTAACTCCGAGCCCACGTTGCTCTGTCCTCGTTTGCGGCCAGGGATGTGAAACCCCAGAGACGAGGATTTGGTGGTGCTGGATGAGTGCGAATCGCTTGTCAGATCGCCGAACCGAGAGAAAATGCTCTTCCTCTTGGGCTTAACCTCGGTTTCGTCGTCAAGACCCACGTCCTCGAATTGCTCCTCCTCCATCGATTCGGGCTGTCTGCAGAGGCCTGTGTGTAGTGTGGATGGCGGTGATGTCATTCGAGAGACGCGCGAGTCGAGCGATGTCCGCGAGGGCAGTGCGTCGGTGTAGCACACAGGGGAGCGGGCGGAGATGTCCTGGCATACAGGATATTAGTCCTGAGATCTATAGGTGCGGAAAGGAAGTGCTGATTGTGCGCAGACTCACGAAGGAACGACGGTAGGAGTCGAACGACTCCCGCGATATCGAGAATGGTTCGTTTTCATCGACAAGGTCGCGATGATGTGAGGATTTGGGTGAACCGGGATATTTGGGCCAGAAGCTCTGTTTCTCGGGCGGTGATGGCTGCATCAAGAGCAATCGACTTAGCAATCATGTAGGATCAATGCGCGACATGGTCAATGGGACTGTAGAGTAAGGTACCGGAAGATAAGCGCCATTGGCATCGACGACTGTTTGCAGATTATCAAGTTAGCGGAGATAAACCTCCCGACCCTCCGTGCTCGTTCAATGATTTCATACCACTCAGTTTATATTCCGGTGGCTCTTCCTCAAAGCTCTTCCTAAAACTCAGAGGTGTTGAGCGCTGGCCGTCAATTGATAACCGGCTGGTAGTGCTGGTATTGTCTAGGGTGGTGATCTCCCCGCCATTGGATGGTGCGGCGGACTTTCGAGACAGGAAGTTACGGAATGGGGCCATTTTGAGGGAGTAATTAAGGAAAGCAATAGGGATGCGTGGCGCAAAGCCAGTTGCGTGGGCGCAATCCAGAAAAAAAGAGAGCCGAGAAAGATATAAGGCTGGAGGGAGCGTACAGCGCAAGCGGCAGTGGTCAGATCCTCTTAAAGAGAGAGTTGGATTGGATGTACTGTAATAATGCACGAACACTCGACCCTCACATGATCGGCGGCCTCGGGCGTCGGTTCATTTTATGAAAGGGTGGTTCATCCCACCTGGCAAATGGATCAACAACATGAGAAAATTCTATTAATGAATCTATGGTTGGGGCCCCCTCTCTGATCCCCTGGAGAATGTTACTCGTACCATAGACCGTGGCTACGTTTGCCACCGCGCCATGTGCCTGACTTCAATTGTTATCATTAGTGGAAAACTTGGTCGTACGTATATCATCATCGTTTAGTCTGGAGTTAGCCATGCCCATAGCGTCATCAGGAGGACTGGTGAACTACCAAGTGGCTTCCCGTCCATTTAAGTTTCCGGGATGAGGAGCACTTATGCAGCTTATGCGACTGTAACATGATATATCCGCATAAGTGCAGTACATAAATAATGACGAGTGCCCGAATCCATAACTACTATGCTGGGAGCTGTTTCATGTTACATTTTTTGAGTTCAATTCATACATTTAAGTTTGATCATTGTTGTGTCCGGTTTACACATGAATCATCAGATATGTTATCAGTATAGAAAGCACTAATCAGCTCGCATGGCTTAGATGGTAAAGCGCAGCACTAGTAATGCTGAGATCCTCGGTTCGAGTCCGAGTGTGAGCATCTCTTCTTTTTGCCAATCTCTGGGTCGTTCTCTCTATATTGTATCCAAGGAGCAATCGCAGAGCTACACAGACTTTTTGAGTTGAGGGGCCTTCGTAGTCACATCTTCATCTTGTCCTTGTAGGAAGGAGAGAAGGTCGACAGTGTCGATGAACCTAGAGCAGTCTCAAATCCTGTGAGCAGTTGGACAATAGTACAAGCATACACTTCGAAACATTGAAATACCCATTGGTGTTGCGTCGATTGACTATGCCGGTGTTTACCACGGCTCTGGTCGGAGCTTGGTGTGCCTCTGAGAAAGCAATAACTAACTATCCGTCATCTCTGGTTTTTACGCGCTCAGATCGTACTGCATGAACAACGCCCTGCTCGATATGCGTAGGCCGGCACTAAAGCTGGGATCCCTGGGCGTTTATTTGTATTCATGAAAAGATTCGGTCAATCAATGGCCGGCAATGACGATAGGACAACGACAGAGGAGCTTCTCTGAGAGTCCTCAACAGGCTGGTCTCGCCGACAAGAAATAATGTAGCCATAGTTCCATTCAACTGCATACCTTGAATCTCCTCCTAATGGGAAGTGCCGTATGAGTAGGTACGTATTACCTGCCGTGCATTGATGTCCAGCGCGCATGAAGAGAGACTAGGCAGTCGCTGCACGGAAAGCCGTTGCTTCCTATCTTATATCGAGCCTGCCTTATCGTTGAGTGTGCAGTCCACTCCTTCCCATCTAGATCATCAGGTCGTAGGGCCTTATAACCTCAGCCATCCCTCTCGGGATTGTAATCATCCTCTCCTCTACAACATCCTCCTATCCATACATCTACCCATCCAGTCACTCATCCCCACACATCCAGTCATTCGGTTACTCAGACAACTCCTGCTTAGCCATACCTATACCCACACGGACATATACTTCTCGATCAAGGTACCATTCGAATTGTCTGACTCCTAGATCAGTAATGTGTAGGAGCGGGCGTGAGTAAGGATTGAACTGACATTTCTCTTTTCTTCCCAGTCAATCCTTTCGATCGACAAGCATCATGCCTAGCCTTGCGACTTCGATCGTCTCCGGTGTTGCCGTCCTCATGGTCATCGGAGGAGTTGCTGCGAGTGCCGTTCCTCCTCATACTCAAACACGAAACCTCACAGTGGCCTACCCCGGCGTGCATCTTGACAGTGAGAGCTATCGCTCCCTGCCTATTCTGGATCGAGGAGATGCGGATGGCTTCGTGGATGCCACCGACGACGAGCTAGACTCGTCCGCGGACAGCGATGCCGCCATCGATACCTGCTACAACAGATCCCAATGCGAAGTCGGATACACATGCCTCAACAGTCGTTGCACTCTGAGCTGCATTACCGACAGTGACTGCTCCCGTCTGCATACATGTGCCAATGGGACATGCATGGATCCTCGTGGCGGAGCATGCCTTTCGAACAGAAACCGCTGCACTCATGACTATCAGTGCTGCTCCGGCCGATGCGACCGATTTGCCTCTGTGTTCGGCAGCAAGAAGTGCAGAAGCTCCATCAAAATCTTCCCCTGAGCGGATCAGCCTGTGGATCGGACGGGGTGGTGTCCTGTCATTTGGCAGTGCTCGTTTTTGTTGATCCTGGATCCTTATTCATTCTGTTATTGATATGTGCCTGTGGCGGGGATGTGAGTGGTTGGTCTTCCTACCGGAGTAGAGTGTAGGAGTTATCACTCAAGTAATACTATTCCTAATGTGAAATTCAATCGTCTCTGTTATTGTTATGGACTTGTGGATTGATGTAGCTTAATGATAGTGTATGTGCTGAATATAGATTGCTGTTGATACCATATTTGTCAATCTGTTATGGATAGTCCAGTGGGAGGTCGGCCGTTAAGTCAATAACCTTGCTTAGGTAATTGCCAGCGGGACCGGTGCCTGGTACGAATCCGGGGGTCGTCGTTGTACTCGTGCGAGTAGTCCACGATTGCTACACGGCGCTAAGCAATGGAAGTGACCCTTGAGGGAAGCAATTCTGCAGAGACATTTCCACCCTAGGATGGCGTCACCAGATTACACCGTCCCGTTACAGGGAAGTTGGCAGTTTGGCTGGACAACTACTTTTTGTTATATGGTCTTTATAGACTGCCTCCTCACCATTATCGCGCCCTGCATTCTATTTCTTTCTTCGACTACTCATTCTTCTCGTTAGCTTTGATTATTGACTGGTCCTTGGTCTCGGGCGTAAAAAGGGCGTAAATATTGCATTCATTGACTATTGCAACGTATTACTCGAAGTATATATATCCACCGACAAAAACCGTTCTCCGAACTTCGAATCACCGCAGCCACTACCCTGCAGAATCTACACTGAGAATACAAGATCGCATTCTAAACAGCTATAACACACTGGATTGTAGCCATCTGAAATCATCACCCAGTACAATCATGCCTGTGTTGACGGAAGAGCGGAACTAGAGTCACCTTCCATTTACGTACATCAACCTCACAGAGCGCTCGTACTTTCCGTCCTCGACTGTGTTGAGAGTGATTGCCTGTGTCCCACGACAGCTGAACCTCTTTCCTAACAAACATGGTGGCAATACTTCTCACCTCTCCCAAGAGAGCTGAAAAGAAAGGCATGCTGCCGGTACTCTCGTTCTGCATCCTTTCCATAGCCCACACAGGTTATAACCACGTTTATCACCAACGCCGGACACCCATCGAATACACCTCCGAGGTGACCCCGAGATATCCTGGCATAGCCTAAAATGCGGTTCTGGTTCGGATGGGCACTGTGGGAGAAGCTGAGCTTCGTGAGCCCCCTTGACTCAGAGTCAAGAAGCCGACAAATATGGCTAACGAGAGAGATAGGTACTTGCGGGTCTTCTGGTAAGGTGCTAAGTCATGTACCACGGGCCGTATGACTGATGCAACAAGGCCATCGTTCTGATCTATTCATTTTGTGTTCTCGCGTACAACCGAAGGGTGACAAACAAGTACGCTGCTGCCGAGGAACGTGAGAGGACCGAGCAGGCCACCGAAATGCAGAGGATCTTGGCCGAGACAACCGAGATTCCGTTCGGTGCCAGGGCGCTAGAAAAGGGCATCCAAGTCGAAGGCATTTGGACTCCCAAGGAGTATTCACCGAGGCAGTCCATCATTATGCCGGGAGATACGCCAGAACTCCCCAGTCCCGCACAGAGTCAGCCATCGCTTGTCCCACCAAGTGGCGTCCAGCGGCCAAGCCGATCATATCAATTGGCGCCAAAACATAATCTGCTCAACCCACGTCTTTCCATGAAGATCCCAGACATCGAGCTCGGGGCCGAGGCAATGCGTGTGTTCTCCACACACAGCGCACCGCAGCCAACAATCCGTGCCAACAGTGAAGCCGAGACGCCCGTTGACCCAGGAAAAAAGAGACGGTCGAGGGGTTGGTTCAATCCTCGGAATTCCTGGGTAAGAAAGCCGTTCGAGAGCTATAAGCGCATGTCAAAACTTGAAGGTATGTCACGTCGAGACAGTAAGCTATGTTCGGATGAGGACAGCGCTCACTGTTGCTCAGGGCATCATCGAACCTCATCCGAAAGCTTTCGACGTAGGATCAGCAAGCTGATCGACGAGAGCATTCAGACAGGCTCGACTGAGACATACCAGTTGAGACCCATCAACCAGGGACCCATCAACCAGGGGACCATAGATAGCCCTAGGAATTAGTGACTGGACAAATGCTACACTGCAATGCGTCGCAAGCATGGAGCAGGCTAGTCTGTCTTCATGATGCCTTTGTTACATGTCACCATCAGCAATCATTGTATTTGGGGGTAGTTTATGAGAACTTTTCGATTCATAAAGCCCGCGAGGCTCTAGGTCTCAGGCGAAGCGCTGGTGAGACATTGAGAGATAAAGCTTATTATAATATGGCATCCAGCAATCGGTCTTACTCGGTATCGAGGAAGCCACTAGACTAGGCCTTTCGCATCTGTAATTGTACGCATGCTAAACCCGAAGTAGTCGGTTGGGCCCGGCCCTCAGGCAGCAACGCCTGATAGGCATCAATATCGACACGTGACATCGCGCCTGCCTCAACGCGTCGAATTTCCATCACTGTTGAGAGATGAGCAATAAGGCTAATTCGCCACCCTCCTTTCAAAATCGCCAGCGTCCTGGGAGACAGCAGGATCAGAAAGACAGATATACTACAGAGCTCATTACGCTCCTTTCACCATCGGCCCAGTCAATTCGGATCCAGGCCGGCACAACCGATCTAAAACACGCGTCTCGCGTTCAGCCCGTCCGCTTTGTGCATTTCCTAGTCGTCTCGCAAGTCGAACAAGTCGAACAGGCTTTCGGTTGTCGTCAAACTGAAAGCTCAGGAGAAAATGACAGCAGACATAGAGACTCAAAATGACTACGAGGAAGGACTTCCTGGTCCTGGGGCCCCAACGCCGCTCTCAGCCTTAGAGGTAAGCATCTGGTGGCATCGCGGGATCCTTGGAAGCAATAACGCGGCCCTCCACATTGCACGAGGTGTACTGATTAGTCCTACGAAAGGGAGTTGCGGGTCTAACTGGCCGAGATATCAAACTGTTTGTTGACGCTGGCTATCACACGGTTGAGTCAATCGCATACACGTAAGTCAACTGATAGGGGATTCTACAAGTCATTGCATAGTATCTTCCGAGCTTACTGACAACCGGTTTTCGTGTTTTTCCAGTCCGAAGCGCTTGCTGGAACAGATCAAGGGTATCTCCGAACAGAAGGCTACCAAGGTTCTTGTTGAAGGTAACTCTGACGTGATTCTGACAAGCATTCACAATAACATAATTGACGACTATGTATCCTGCAGCGGCGAAACTCGTACCCATGGGATTTACAACGGCCACGGAGATGCATGCGCGACGAAGCGAGCTCATATCGATCACAACGGGATCCAAACAACTAGACACTCTCCTTGGCGGAGGCATTGAGACAGGATCTATCACGGAGATCTTCGGCGAGTTCAGAACAGGGAAGAGTCAAATCTGCCATACTCTCGCGGTGACCTGTCAGCTGCCTTTTGATATGGGCGGTGGAGAAGGAAAGTGTCTGTATATTGATACCGAGGGTACTTTCCGTCCCGTGCGCCTGTTAGCGGTTGCGCAACGATATGGGCTTGTCGGCGAAGAGGTTCTCGATAACGTGGCATATGCTCGAGCCTACAACTCGGACCATCAGCTTCAGCTGCTGAATCAGGCCTCCCAGATGATGTGCGAGACTCGCTTCTCGCTGCTCGTCGTCGACTCGGCTACTTCATTGTACCGGACAGATTTCAACGGCCGTGGAGAATTGTCCACGCGCCAGACCCATCTGGCGAAGTTCATGCGCACTCTGCAGCGCCTTGCAGACGAGTTCGGAATCGCGGTTGTTATCACAAACCAGGTCGTCGCCCAGGTAGACGGCGGCCCCAACATGTTCAATCCCGACCCGAAAAAGCCCATTGGTGGAAACATCATTGCACATGCTAGTACGACGAGGTTGAGTCTGAAGAAGGGACGAGGTGAGACACGAGTATGTAAGATCTACGACAGTCCATGTCTGCCGGAGAGTGACTGTCTCTTTGCCATCAATGAGGATGGAATTGGAGACCCAAGCCCCAAGGATCTGGAGCATGAGTGATTGATGGAGGGGTGCATATAGTATTATCTGAAGCTATGAATTAATGATTATGCTATGTATAATTTGTACTGTATGATGCCTCTTGTCGCAAGCACAAGGTAAGCGCATGGTAAGCACATATGTCACGTAGAGATATTTCTTGGTAGACAACCGGCAAAGGCGGTGGAGCGACTTTTTGGGCGCGTTGCTCCCGGCCGAACCAAGAACTGTTTTTGGGAGGCGGCGCAAGAGCTGCGGCTTCTGCCCTTCAACTCCGCTGTGTTGCGATACTCTTTCTCCGCTTCTTCCCCAATCGGCCATGGAGACTTGAGTTGACCTCTTTTCATTATCGCGGAGAGTGGTCATATCTCAGTTCTCGATTCCATCATGGCGAAAATCTACAAGGATACCCGGGTCGACCTCCGACCGCACTCCCCAAGCACGGTCGTTAACATTCAGATTCCAACAGAAGCGAGCACTCAAAGCCGAGCTCGTTTCGCAATTTCCACCTTCAGCAGCCAAGAGCTACCGGTAGCGAGAGACGAAGAGGACTTCACTAAGCGATATTTGGCGACACAGGGATCGGTTTACTTTCGCAAACGCAGCGTCTACCCCCGGGCCTTCCTCTGGCGAGTTGTCGATGACAGCAAGGTTCTGGAAATCCAGTGTGTCGATTTAACGAAGGGTGGGGTCGAGCACCACGAATATAATGTGACTCTGCGCTTGGAATTCGAAGAAGGCATCGTCCCTTCGGGTATCGATCTTGCAGACTTGGAAGAGCACGAAGCGTTGAGCGTGTTCGTCCTTACGGCCGACAAGCATTTGCACACTTTGACCCTACGCCCTGAGTTCTTCCGGAGGACGGAGGCGATCGACGAGAATATCTCGGACTGGTGCAAGTCTTATGTTCCGGCGCCGCTGACATTTACGAACCCTCATCGACTACACGCGAGTAGCCCCCTGGAGTTGTTCATTTCTCTTGACAATGGTGCACTGTTGCGATTAACGAGGAAGTCTAGTGATGACGGTAACCTCCTCCTAGTTCCTTTCTCACTATGGTATCCCCAAAATTGTGATTCTGGGTTACAGTACTAACGCGTCCGGTACTTAGGATCAAATTGGACACCGATTACTTTTGACGAGAGGACATGGGGTGCGTCGATCCGCGGCTTGGTCAGATGGCAGGCGCAGCCTTCAATAAGATACAAGGGGCGCACGCTCGATACGAATGTCGCGAACGCCATCACAACGACGTCTGACCAGACCTATGTTTTCGCCGTCTGCCTCAATCATACCTTGAAGATCTGGAACCTCGCGACCAACAAGCTAGCTGCTACGAAAGATCTGCTGGACCGTGAAATCCAGCAGCCAGACGAATCATCATATTCGCTGAATCCGGCCGAATCGTCGTTCATTCGGGTCTTCAACATGGAGCGCGCGTTGGATGGAGGCTACCGCTATTATGTCGTCACATATTCGCCCTTCGAAGACGGCCGCTTCAAGTTTTGGGCGGTGAAGGGCGGCCTGACTTCGCCGCTGGTGATTGAGGACCTGTACCCCGGGATGGCTCTGAAGCCGGTCGACCCAGATTCAACCGGAAGTATGTTCTGGAGTATTGCCGATTTCCAGATCAAGCCGGCCGAAGAGGGTAAGCGTATGGAGCTGTGGGTTTTGTGGAGGAATAGCAGTCTTTATCAGCTGTATACGCTGCACTTCAACTTTGAGTCTCTGCCCAAGGATTGGAATACCAATTGGGTATCCACCGTCATGGACAGCCGCTGGCAGGAGCCGCCACCCGTCATAGCCACTTCTGATGTCGTTGACCCAACGGAGAAATGGCTGGAATACTTGTTGAAGCCGAATAGGTTCTCGCCAGAGGTCCTCGAAACCGCTCTGGCAATCTATCAAGAGGCCCTCAAACCAATGTCGTCCGGTTTCCCGAAGAAGACCCACAGCCTTGAAGAGCGGCTTTGTTCCACTATTGGTGCCCATGTATCTCTTCGAAAGCACGCCGATGAAGAGATGGATTATACTCGCTATCGCATGGACACAGATTCCAAATGGCGCCAATTCTGGCAGATTGCGGATGATGTCAACAAACGGCGTTTTGAGCCGGTAGCCCTCGCGTATGACGTTTATTATGAGACACCCTGGATGCTTCTCTCGGACAGCTGCGCGATTATTCGTGAATGTAGCTCCGCGGAGCTTATTCTGCACAACTCTGGCGCCGAGCTTCGCTCAGATGGGCCGGTCATTGTTGATCGCTGGAGGCATCGCAAACTGGAGACAGAGATTGGCAGTCTATTCGAGCAGGCGTCCCATCTGATCACTGTTGCCTCCGGTTTCCGCAAGGCGTTCTCCGCTGAGCTGGAAGCTGCTTGCCAGGAGGCCCTCGACGCCGAGGTTTTCACTGAGCCCTCTACGTCTGTGCAAGACAGGATGGATACTTTCCGCGAGCGGTGTGATTTTGGAGAGCAGGTATCTAATAAAGCATATGATACTTTGGTCTCCGTGATGAGTGAGCACCTGAACATCTCCAGGATGCCTAACGACGTGTTCTACACCATCATTGATACTATTCCGCTCGACTTCCCCGGCAAAAACTCCGATCTCTTCCACACCCATTTTGGAATTAAGGTTATCGTCAATGGTGTCCAGGAGACCATTATACTGACGCGGAAGACCCTGGCTGACCTTCTCTTCCTCGTTCTGTTTGTGGACGGAGAGGTCGAGCAGGAGGCCGGCTCGGACTTCGATGCGGCGGATCTGTTCGTGACTCTTACTACTCTGCTGAGGGAGTATGAGATGATGTCCTGGTTAAGCTCGCATTCACGAAAGTGCACTGACCGACCGACCAAAACGCCGGGTGGCTCTTCTCCTGTGGCCCTCAAGGACTCTTCTCGTAAGGATAAGGGACAAAGAACGGCCACCATCCTCGAGGATTTATTTGCCAGTGACATCAAGCCGCGCCAAACCATCGGACTTCCTCAGAGCTTCACCATTACCCTGGGAATCCGTGATATTCTGTCATGGGTGACCCGCCAAGGGGAGGTTGCCTACCCCAATGCTTTGGTTTACAT